TTGTGCGGTAACCATTATACCCAGCGATAGTTAGTGGCATTTGTAAGTTAGTAAATCGTACGATAGAGTTAATTGACTGTCAACGTGACGATAGAAGAAAGTGACTGTGGACAACCTCGAAAGGCGCCCTCAAGTTGGAGCGGTGTCGACGCTCGGGCTGCTGCCAACGGCCAAGGTCTAGGTTCAATCACCATCAGTCACACCCAGATACACACCACATCACTTATTTCCCTTTCACTACACAACCACATGTGACCTGACCGACTCCGGAGGGACCAGTCGCCTTGGATAGGTAAGTAAGCTTCATCCAAATTCCTTCCGGTCGACTGGCCGTAGTATAACGCTCCCCCTTATATTTTAATGTAATTAGGAATTTCCACGTGGCCACATTGGGGCCCGACCTACGTCTGTTCGGGAAATCTTCAGCTCATTGGCCCCTGAAGATTGGATCCTTTAAGGGAGCAGCCGTAGGCCGTAACAATACTAGTATAGTAGTATAGTATATATAGTATAGTATTATCGTCAGTGGTGTATCTTGCCTAGTGTAGTGGTGTAAAAAAAATTTTTTAAAAGCTTTTAGATTGTTATACTGCCATCTACTGGAACCCATGAGAGTTTTCTCCACAAGCGAGCACACAATCCACCTGATGGTCATCATATTGGTAGATGACAGATGCTGTGGGCCATAGACACTTGCATCATACTGTAACGAACCCCCCCCCCATCTTTTTTCTTTTTTACTATATCCCACTTATATTTGTATTTCTTTAGAATCTATATCTGTAAGATATATAAATATATCAAATTTACGTGACCAGTATAACTTGATCTTTCTAAAGGTTTAAATATAGGCCGTTTAAATTTATGGCGTGATCGTCTTAGTTAGGACCCCTCTTTACGTTATGTTTGTATAGTAACTTAGTTCTTTTAGGTGTATCTTGGAAGAATGAATATTCACGAGAGCAATCGAAAGCTGTTGGTAGAGTCTTATAAGCTAGAGAACCCCGTTCACTAAGACAGAGCTCAAAAAGGTTAAGAACAATAAATTGTCCCTATTCCACTTGTATCTGGTTCACAACAGTCAATTCCTTATTAATTAATCCCTTCCCGCTTGGAAAAGGCTCACAATATTTATATCAAATACCAGTTACAAGGGCTTCGCTCTCCCACATTTTAAAAAAAATGTGGAGGAGGTACACGGCCCCACACACGCCGCGCACGGTGAGCGCCAACCATTTTAATGCGCTCCCCCCGAAGGGTACGCAAAGTTGGGAACTGGACCGTAGTCCACAGCAAAATAACTGGCGAACCAGTAAAAGAGGACTTGGCCCCTTGATAGTGCGTAAGCACAAACATCGACCGAAGTCGCGCATGTCAATGCGTGTAAACGCCATACAGAATACGATCAAATCCAGTCACAGTGAATGTACGTCACACGGGTTAGGCAACAATAGGCACACTGACCATAAAAAGCCTTCCGTGAGCGCCACCACCTGCCAGACCGCCGTTCCTGCAGACGTGATGTAAGTGTAAGGCATCACCACCAATTGCATGGTCAGCACGGCCAATTGGCCGCAGAGCGTGTCATGAGTCTACCGCTCACCTCAAGGGAATGGGGTCCCACGTTGCGCGGCTTTCGGCCGCAGCCTTGAGAGCCTCCTCAGATTCTCCCTCCAGCTACCACCCGCATGAGGTCAACACATATGCTCCACCAACCAATACAATGGCAGATATAGCCAATAGGCAGTTATAAGATAATATTAATAATTCGCCATCAGAAAGGGTTTGTGTCACTGACGTTGAGTATATGCATTTTTCGATCATGTTTGTCTCACCCACCAACAAGTTGCCTTCAATCTCTCAAAGGTGGGAACTTTATAGAGATATATTATTAAGTTGTTATATAAAACATCATGGAGGGCAGACAGTCTGCAGCCCCGCTATGAAGGGACCCGACTTGGGCAAAGCTACTTAGGTTGTGAGTCAAACCAAGACGCAGAGAGCGCCATTGAGAATAGCGACCCGCCAAACAACCATCGTAGAGACACAATGCTACAGAATGCAACAAGCATCAATACGACTATCGTCGGGCTTACACCATCCCAAGGTCCCCCATACAGTCCCAGCAGACATCACCACCCGCATACCTCCATCGACCAGAACCACAAGATGCATCGAATCAGGTGCAGTACACCCGCAGATCCATCACAAGACGCAATACTGCAAGTAGCAGTAAGCATCAATGCAACTATCATACGGATGGCGCCCCCTCACAACACACCCACATGATCCCTATCGACTTTGGTAACAAAATTTGATAATGTTGTTAACTAAAAATACCACCGACGTATCATAGTAGTACGGTACTAAGACGTCAGTAGCCAAAACTCCACGTATCATAGCGCTATTGCACTAAGACATGAAGTTGAGTATGCTTGCTGCACTTAAAAGTACTACCAAACACACTCACCCTAATCCGAAAGATAGCCGACGTATCATAACGCTATGCGCTAAGACGCCGCCCACAACCGGTAGGGGTGTGCGATGTCCACGGGCAAGTCGTATTGCTACAACAAACCCGCTTACCACCGGCACTAAGATGATATGTCTAGGACACATCGGTTAGTGAGTCCAAGTTTACCTCGGTCTCAGAGGCTGCGAAGCAACCTACACGCCACTATAATAATCCTTTTCAAGTCCCATTTCTTTCAATATAATGCTTTTACATATTTGAGACCTTCCACATATTTGCTTTATTTCATAGACCATACTACTGTATGTCTTATTCATATGGGACTTCAAGTCATAACTCTGCTATCATAATGCTTATGCATCATAGAGACCTTCTATATTAATGCTTTGGTTCGTCAGACCTTACTATGTTAAGTCCCTAATATAGGACTAGTCATTGTGCAACCTTAGTACTAGCAGTCGGTCAGCCGACCACCCCATATATATGTACAACCTTGGGTATGTGTCTCCGACAACGCCCCAATATAAGGGTACATTACAAGAACACGTTCATTAACTTAGAAATTTTCCAATTATTACACGAACTCCTTCATCAACTTAGAAAATTTTAATCCATTTTTTCTATTATATTACAAATGTTATTTATCTTTGTTATTGCAATATAATCGCCTTGTATTTATATGATTTGATATATTTTGAACATTTTAAGCAGGTTTTTAATAAATTTAGAGATTTTTTGAGACATTTTATGCGTTTACTAATATATATAATATTCAATATTCCAAATGGATATTTTTGAACTCTATGCTTATTATTTGCATTTTATTGTTTAAATTATAATTTCTATGACATTTTTAAATGTCTGTATAATGAATTTAATTATTATTTATTAATAATAATTATGAGGCGTCACAATCCACCCCCAAATTTTATGTTAATGATCCACATAGTGGAGTCGTTAATATAAAATTTTAGTATTTTGAGAGCATATACACTACACTCAAATAATTGTTTATATATCTGTTCTTTCCTCTTTTAATCTGTTACAATACGGCATATGTTATCAAATCCCCTTGCCCCAGGGAATGGCCGCCACCAACACCCCTTCAACCACAATTATCACAATGTGATAACACCATAATTTAAGTTATTGTATATCGTGTTGTTAATAAAGTTTGCAGTCAATTGTCGATTTCTTATTTTATTAATTTATCTTTAAATCTTTGAAACATTATTTCGATAGTGTCACACTTTATGTGCATACAATCCAGTTTGATATTTGTTGAGGTCAGTTCGATACCACATAGGATAAATGTGTTTGAGCCATTCGCCCTGACCCAACTCCCATATTTATTTAATAAAAATGATTACAAAATTATCTTACGATCTATATTTACAACTCTTCATTATATATTAATAACGTTCTACTATCATATAACAAATCTCTTGCTCATAACTTTAATAATTTTAGACCTTTAACTTAAACAATTATTTCCATGGGCCACCCACAAAACCCTTTTATGTTACAATATTTATTTAATTACTCTAATTTATACAAAAAGAAATTATTATTTAAAATATTTTAATAAGTGAATAGCATTGAAAATTCCTCTAATTTCGTTTGTCTCTGGATTTGCTAAGGTATATACATTGTCAAATGGTACGGCTGCTATTACATAAGGTCCTTCATATGCCAAATTAAACTTACTCATAACTTTATTATCAGCGTCTGATCTACTATATCTTGAAATTTTTACTAAGTCACCAATATTATATTTTATTAATCTATTTCGCTTATCAAATTTTGTGTTTCTTATTCGACTTGCCTCTTTTAAATTTTTACGCACTTGTTGTCTAATTTGTTCGACATTATGTTTGTCTTTACTTTTGGAAATTACTTTGTCAAAAGACATCTCATTAGACTCACCATAAAGAATCTCACAAGGCGTGAAGCCTGTACTATTGTGATAAGAATTATTATACAATTCTTCTAATTTCGGCAATATTAACGCCCAATCTTTGTGGTTAGTATGACAAAGCGTCCTAAATAATCTGCTCAACTCTTTATTTACTCGCTCTGTTGTATTTGGTCTAGGATTTCTAACTGTGGTATATATTGGCTTTATATTTAATTCACTCATTGATTGTTTCCAGTGATTACTTACGAACTGTTTTCCATTATCTGTCATTATTGCCTTGGGCTTTATAATCTCAACAAAATGCTTTACTTTTGTTACAACAGACTTTGCTGTTGACTGTTTTAAAGGATATAATTTGATAAATTTACTGAATGAATCTTGAATGACAAATATGAAAGTGTACCCAAAGGTACCTGATACAAGTGGTCCATATAAGTCTGCCATGACTATATCGCCAATGTTTTCTGTTATTATAGATTTGCAGGGACCCACATATGTTATATTGCTTTTCTTAGATAACTGACATAAATGACAAGCCCTTAATTGGTTTTTAATATCTTTTGTTAAACCTTTCCAAAAGAATCTGTCTCTCACATATTTAATTACCTTCTAGGGTCCTTGATGACCCATTTCGACATGCACTTGATTTATAATATCTTGTCTCAATGCTTTAGGTAAATATATTACTTCTTGTAAATTCGTTTTGTAATATAATACATCATTTTTCAAACTATACCTTTTAAATTTATTGTTTTGTTTTATTATGGAAGTATTTAATGTCTTTAACTTTTCAATAATAGCCAACGACTCTGAATCTTGTAATTGATATACTGTTAAGGATTTTAATTTTTCTATCAACTCAATATTCGGTTCGCTCTCTGTGTAAGCAATTTCTAAACTATTATTTTTATCCTCTTGTATTAAATCGCCATCAGGAGGATAACGTGATAGCACATCTGCAACAATATTACGTCTACCCGATATATGCTGTACTTCATAATTAAATTGTTCTATATACAAAATCCATCGGGTTACTCTACCATTGAATAACTTCATATTATTAATAAACAATAATGCTTTATGATCAGTTAGTATTATTACTTTACTGCCCCTCAAATATGTTTCAAATTTCTTTAGGCAGCTTATTACAGCATAAAACTCTTGTTCAGTAACAGACCAATTTAATTCGGGGCCTTTTAAGGCTTTACTATGATAGCCTAAAATTCTCATTTCATTATTATCATCTATCTGATATAGTACTCCGGCCATACCCACACCGGAACAATCTGTTTGTAAATAATACGGCTTATTAAAGTCTGGATGATGCAATTGTATTGTATTAATAAATTGTTGTTTTATAAAATCAAATGCCTTCTGTTCTTTACCGCTCCATTGGAACTTTCGTCCCTTTTTAAGTAATTCACAGAGCGGTATTATGCTCTCGCTGTAATTTGGTATAAACCTTCTATAAAAATTGCATAGACCTAAAAAGGCCCTTAATTGTTTAATCTTTTTAGGTGCTGGAAACTCTTGGATCGCTCGAATCTTATCGGGATCTGTCTTTATGCCTTCTGTTGAAATTATAAAACCCAGCATTCTAATTTCTTTACAAATAAATTCACATTTCTGCAAGTTACACGTTAAGCCAGCTTTGTTCCATTTACTTAAAACAATATCAATGTGCTCCAAATGTTTATCTAACGTTCCTGTTGTAATAATGGCTAGATCATCTAAATAGTTCACACAAAATTCTTGGACTTCTGGTCCTAATATTAAATTCATGGCTCTGCTAAAGCTTCCTACTGATGTTTTTAATCCTTGCGGCAAAACATTATATACATATGACTTTCCATTGAATGTGAATCCAGTATATTTTCTACCATCTTTATTTATCGGAATTTGAAAATATGCATTATTTAAGTCAATGGTAGTGATATAATTCGCTCCGTGAAATGAATTGAAAATATCTAATTGTATAGGTGGTTTCTCTGTTTCTGCAACCATTTTCTTATTTATGCTTCTGGCATCAAGCAGAACTCTAATTGAGCCGTCTTTTTTAAGAGTGAATGTCAATGGACTACTGTAAGGCGTTGATGTCCTTGTGATGATACCAGCTTGTTCCATTTCATTTAACTTTTCTTCCATTTTCGCTCTATATGCATATGGAATGGGATAGGACCTAGTAACTATAGGTTCATCATCGATCATTTCAATTTTATGCTCATAGCAATTGGCTCTTCCCAATTTGCTCGAAAACATATTCTTATGCTTTTCCAAAACCTTACTAAGTTTTGCCCTTTCAGAGACCTCCAATGTAGATCCTATTTTTATATTTATTAAGGGATCATCGGTACATTGTTTGATGCAGTTATTATGTAATACAGATTTATTATTATATTTTAAAGGTATAAAGTAGTCTTTGTTTTTCACTTTAAATTCTATTCCAACAGTAGTATTTCTCAAATCAATCAATATTTTATTTCTCTTGAGCCAGTCAAAGCCTAATATTAAAGGTCTTATTAAATTACCTACAATTAAAGTTTGTGTTTCAAAGACTACTTCATCTATCTTTATAGGCAATATGATCATCTGTTGTATTTTTGTGCTGCGCTGCCCAACAGCACCTTTTATTTGCATTGCTTTAACTGGCATTATTGATATTTTACGATTATTATCTTTAATTTGTAAATATAAACTTTCTGAAATGCATGTAACATCGCTCCCAGTGTCAAGGAGCGCGTCTATTTCTTTGTCAAATATTGAAACTTTAATTTCAGATCTCATATTCCCTATAAATTCCCTTTGATATTTATCTTCGTCTTCCTCGAAGACGGTTTGCACGAATAACTCCGTTATGGGCAAGTCCGACCTGGCTTTTAAGGTGTTTAATATGCTATTTACATTGTCGTTATAACCAAGGCCTTCTCTGTTAAAATTTGCTTTTAAAGTAATAGGTTTTCGCAACCCTCTATTGTTTTTACCCAATGTTTGACCAGGTCGCCAACCCAGTTTTAATAACATATTTAATGCTTTGTTCCCTTTTACATTGTAAGGGGTCGAATTGGGAACTAGTTCGACCTCTACAGCTCTAAATTTGGCTCAGGGGCCGTAACATCAGGTTGGTCATTAGTGAAATGTATTTCATGTACTTCATTAACCTTCTTTTTTCCCTCTTCGGGTTTACGCCATATTTTGTATGATTGTTGTATTTCTTTATGTTTTTGCTCCGTATTATTATTAAACTTCCTCCTTTTCTCATTATAGTAAGGTTCACGACCTTCATCTTGTTTGTCGATGTCATCTAAGTTTCTTAAGAAATCTGTCGTGTCTATTATTGTCTCAATATTAGCTATTCTCCATAATTGCTGCACAGCTTTAGGATAATGTCTGATTACATCAGTTACTAATTGTTTTTCAGGTATCGGATATGATAATGTTTGTGCCTTCTCAACCACATAAAGAAAATAACTAACCATGGTGGGGTGTGTACTTCTATTCCATTTATTTTGCACAAGGAATCTCTTTACTTTATTTTGTTCTTCTTCACCCCAAAACACTCTTAGGAAGTCAGCTTTAAAATCATCAAAAGTTGTCCAACGCACTTTATTAATGCGAGCCCAATACTTAACTTCACCTACTAAGAACTCTTGTGCAATCGAAATTTCGAGACCATTAGATGGAACTTTCTTTAAATAATTGGTGAGATCTTCCAAAAATGATACTGGATGAGTATTTCCATTTCCGAATTTCGGCTTTTCTATTGTTACATTATGTACATTATATACAATATTTTGTCTAGGATCATTTACATGAGAGGTGCTCGCCCCGGACACCTCTCCTTGATTTATTTTAATTTGGTAATCTTTCGTTTGGTTAATAAATTTTTCCTCAAGATCCTTTATTTTAACCTCCAAGGTTTTCACTGCATTCTTAATTAATTTCTGAAGCATTTTCATCTCATCTTTAGGCTTAGCCTTAATTGAGGTTGATTTGTTCTTATTTTTAGCCATTTTTAATTTTTATTACCACTTGTTTTTTTTTTTTTTACACTTTTTGTGTCCTTCACTTACTTTAATTGAGTTTTTCCACTTATTTCACTTTATAATATATAGTATTGCAGTTTTTTTTTTTTTTTTTTTTTTACACCTGTTGTGTCCTTCGCTTAGTTTAATTGAGTCTTTCCACTTATTTCACTTTTTATTATTTCGCTCCGTTATGCACACACCTCCTATATTATTACTCAATTTTAATATTTAAGCCCCACCCCCAGACTCTCAACCACCCCCAGCAAACACCACTCTCCAAGACACCTCTCCATTTCACTGACAACAAATTGTAGGCATATAGCCTACCTCATAATTTTATATTACCGGCCTCCTATTTAAAATTTAACCTCCATCCTGGTCACGGCACCAAATTGTAACGAACCCCCCCCCATCTTTTTTCTTTTTTACTATATCCCACTTATATTTGTATTTCTTTAGAATCTATATCTGTAAGATATATAAATATATCAAATTTACGTGACCAGTATAACTTGATCTTTCTAAAGGTTTAAATATAGGCCGTTTAAATTTATGGCGTGATCGTCTTAGTTAGGACCCCTCTTTACGTTATGTTTGTATAGTAACTTAGTTCTTTTAGGTGTATCTTGGAAGAATGAATATTCACGAGAGCAATCGAAAACTGTTGGTAGAGTCTTATAAGCTAGAGAACCCCGTTCACTAAGACAGAGCTCAAAAAGGTTAAGAACAATAAATTGTCCCTATTCCACTTGTATCTGGTTCACAACAGTCAATTCCTTATTAATTAATCCCTTCCCGCTTGGAAAAGGCTCACAATATTTATATCAAATACCAGTTACAAGGGCTTCGCTCTCCCACATTTTAAAAAAAATGTGGAGGAGGTACACGGCCCCACACACGCCGCGCACGGTGAGCGCCAACCATTTTAATGCGCTCCCCCCGAAGGGTACGCAAAGTTGGGAACTGGACCGTAGTCCACAGCAAAATAACTGGCGAACCAGTAAAAGAGGACTTGGCCCCTTGATAGTGCGTAAGCACAAACATCGACCGAAGTCGCGCATGTCAATGCGTGTAAACGCCATACAGAATACGATCAAATCCAGTCACAGTGAATGTACGTCACACGGGTTAGGCAACAATAGGCACACTGACCATAAAAAGCCTTCCGTGAGCGCCACCACCTGCCAGACCGCCGTTCCTGCAGACGTGATGTAAGTGTAAGGCATCACCACCAATTGCATGGTCAGCACGGCCAATTGGCCGCAGAGCGTGTCATGAGTCTACCGCTCACCTCAAGGGAATGGGGTCCCACGTTGCGCGGCTTTCGGCCGCAGCCTTGAGAGCCTCCTCAGATTCTCCCTCCAGCTACCACCCGCATGAGGTCAACACATATGCTCCACCAACCAATACAATGGCAGATATAGCCAATAGGCAGTTATAAGATAATATTAATAATTCGCCATCAGAAAGGGTTTGTGTCACTGACGTTGAGTATATGCATTTTTCGATCATGTTTGTCTCACCCACCAACAAGTTGCCTTCAATCTCTCAAAGGTGGGAACTTTATAGAGATATATTATTAAGTTGTTATATAAAACATCATGGAGGGCAGACAGTCTGCAGCCCCGCTATGAAGGGACCCGACTTGGGCAAAGCTACTTAGGTTGTGAGTCAAACCAAGACGCAGAGAGCGCCATTGAGAATAGCGACCCGCCAAACAACCATCGTAGAGACACAATGCTACAGAATGCAACAAGCATCAATACGACTATCGTCGGGCTTACACCATCCCAAGGTCCCCCATACAGTCCCAGCAGACATCACCACCCGCATACCTCCATCGACCAGAACCACAAGATGCATCGAATCAGGTGCAGTACACCCGCAGATCCATCACAAGACGCAATACTGCAAGTAGCAGTAAGCATCAATGCAACTATCATACGGATGGCGCCCCCTCACAACACACCCACATGATCCCTATCGACTTTGGTAACAAAATTTGATAATGTTGTTAACTAAAAATACCACCGACGTATCATAGTAGTACGGTACTAAGACGTCAGTAGCCAAAACTCCACGTATCATAGCGCTATTGCACTAAGACATGAAGTTGAGTATGCTTGCTGCACTTAAAAGTACTACCAAACACACTCACCCTAATCCGAAAGATAGCCGACGTATCATAACGCTATGCGCTAAGACGCCGCCCACAACCGGTAGGGGTGTGCGATGTCCACGGGCAAGTCGTATTGCTACAACAAACCCGCTTACCACCGGCACTAAGATGATATGTCTAGGACACATCGGTTAGTGAGTCCAAGTTTACCTCGGTCTCAGAGGCTGCGAAGCAACCTACACGCCACTATAATAATCCTTTTCAAGTCCCATTTCTTTCAATATAATGCTTTTACATATTTGAGACCTTCCACATATTTGCTTTATTTCATAGACCATACTACTGTATGTCTTATTCATATGGGACTTCAAGTCATAACTCTGCTATCATAATGCTTATGCATCATAGAGAGCTTCTATATTAATGCTTTGGTTCGTCAGACCTTACTATGTTAAGTCCCTAATATAGGACTAGTCATTGTGCAACCTTAGTACTAGCAGTCGGTCAGCCGACCACCCCATATATATGTACAACCTTGGGTATGTGTCTCCGACAACGCCCCAATATAAGGGTACATTACAAGAACACGTTCATTAACTTAGAAATTTTCCAATTATTACACGAACTCCTTCATCAACTTAGAAAATTTTAATCCATTTTTTCTATTATATTACAAATGTTATTTATCTTTGTTATTGCAATATAATCGCCTTGTATTTATATGATTTGATATATTTTGAACATTTTAAGCAGGTTTTTAATAAATTTAGAGATTTTTTGAGACATTTTATGCGTTTACTAATATATATAATATTCAATATTCCAAATGGATATTTTTGAACTCTATGCTTATTATTTGCATTTTATTGTTTAAATTATAATTTCTATGACATTTTTAAATGTCTGTATAATGAATTTAATTATTATTTATTAATAATAATTATGAGGCGTCACAATCCACCCCCAAATTTTATGTTAATGATCCACATAGTGGAGTCGTTAATATAAAATTTTAGTATTTTGAGAGCATATACACTACACTCAAATAATTGTTTATATATCTGTTCTTTCCTCTTTTAATCTGTTACAATACGGCATATGTTATCAAATCCCCTTGCCCCAGGGAATGGCCGCCACCAACACCCCTTCAACCACAATTATCACAATGTGATAACACCATAATTTAAGTTATTGTATATCGTGTTGTTAATAAAGTTTGCAGTCAATTGTCGATTTCTTATTTTATTAATTTATCTTTAAATCTTTGAAACATTATTTCGATAGTGTCACACTTTATGTGCATACAATCCAGTTTGATATTTGTTGAGGTCAGTTCGATACCACATAGGATAAATGTGTTTGAGCCATTCGCCCTGACCCAACTCCCATATTTATTTAATAAAAATGATTACAAAATTATCTTACGATCTATATTTACAACTCTTCATTATATATTAATAACGTTCTACTATCATATAACAAATCTCTTGCTCATAACTTTAATAATTTTAGACCTTTAACTTAAACAATTATTTCCATGGGCCACCCACAAAACCCTTTTATGTTACAATATTTATTTAATTACTCTAATTTATACAAAAAGAAATTATTATTTAAAATATTTTAATAAGTGAATAGCATTGAAAATTCCTCTAATTTCGTTTGTCTCTGGATTTGCTAAGGTATATACATTGTCAAATGGTACGGCTGCTATTACATAAGGTCCTTCATATGCCAAATTAAACTTACTCATAACTTTATTATCAGCGTCTGATCTACTATATCTTGAAATTTTTACTAAGTCACCAATATTATATTTTATTAATCTATTTCGCTTATCAAATTTTGTGTTTCTTATTCGACTTGCCTCTTTTAAATTTTTACGCACTTGTTGTCTAATTTGTTCGACATTATGTTTGTCTTTACTTTTGGAAATTACTTTGTCAAAAGACATCTCATTAGACTCACCATAAAGAATCTCACAAGGCGTGAAGCCTGTACTATTGTGATAAGAATTATTATACAATTCTTCTAATTTCGGCAATATTAACGCCCAATCTTTGTGGTTAGTATGACAAAGCGTCCTAAATAATCTGCTCAACTCTTTATTTACTCGCTCTGTTGTATTTGGTCTAGGATTTCTAACTGTGGTATATATTGGCTTTATATTTAATTCACTCATTGATTGTTTCCAGTGATTACTTACGAACTGTTTTCCATTATCTGTCATTATTGCCTTGGGCTTTATAATCTCAACAAAATGCTTTACTTTTGTTACAACAGACTTTGCTGTTGACTGTTTTAAAGGATATAATTTGATAAATTTACTGAATGAATCTTGAATGACAAATATGAAAGTGTACCCAAAGGTACCTGATACAAGTGGTCCATATAAGTCTGCCATGACTATATCGCCAATGTTTTCTGTTATTATAGATTTGCAGGGACCCACATATGTTATATTGCTTTTCTTAGATAACTGACATAAATGACAAGCCCTTAATTGGTTTTTAATATCTTTTGTTAAACCTTTCCAAAAGAATCTGTCTCTTACATATTTAATTACCTTATAGGGTCCTTGATGACCCATTTCGACATGCACTTGATTTATAATATCTTGTCTCAATGCTTTAGGTAAATATATTACTTCTTGTAAATTCGTTTTGTAATATAATACATCATTTTTCAAACTATACCTTTTAAATTTATTGTTTTGTTTTATTATGGAAGTATTTAATGTCTTTAACTTTTCAATAATAGCCAACGACTCTGAATCTTGTAATTGATATACTGTTAAGGATTTTAATTTTTCTATCAACTCAATATTCGGTTCGCTCTCTGTGTAAGCAATTTCTAAACTATTATTTTTATCCTCTTGTATTAAATCGCCATCAGGAGGATAACGTGATAGCACATCTGCAACAATATTACGTCTACCCGATATATGCTGTACTTCATAATTAAATTGTTCTATATACAAAATCCATCGGGTTACTCTACCATTGAATAACTTCATATTATTAATAAACAATAATGCTTTATGATCAGTTAGTATTATTACTTTACTGCCCCTCAAATATGTTTCAAATTTCTTTAGGCAGCTTATTACAGCATAAAACTCTTGTTCAGTAACAGACCAATTTAATTCGGGGCCTTTTAAGGCTTTACTATGATAGCCTAAAATTCTCATTTCATTATTATCATCTATCTGATATAGTACTCCGGCCATACCCACACCGGAACAATCTGTTTGTAAATAATACGTCTTATTAAAGTCTGGATGATGCAATTGTATTGTATTAATAAATTGTTGTTTTATAAAATCAAATGCCTTCTGTTCTTTACCGCTCCATTGGAACTTTCGTCCCTTTTTAAGTAATTCACAGAGCGGTATTATGCTCTCGCTGTAATTTGGTATAAACCTTCTATAAAAATTGCATAGACCTAAAAAGGCCCTTAATTGTTTAATCTTTTTAGGTGCTGGAAACTCTTGGATCGCTCGAATCTTATCGGGATCTGTCTTTATGCCTTCTGTTGAAATTATAAAACCCAGCATTCTAATTTCTTTACAAATAAATTCACATTTCTGCAAGTTACACGTTAAGCCAGCTTTGTTCCATTTACTTAAAACAATATCAATGTGCTCCAAATGTTTATCTAACGTTCCTGTTGTAATAATGGCTAGATCATCTAAATAGTTCACACAAAATTCTTGGACTTCTGGTCCTAATATTAAATTCATGGCTCTGCTAAAGCTTCCTACTGATGTTTTTAATCCTTGCGGCAAAACATTATATACATATGACTTTCCATTGAATGTGAATCCAGTATATTTTCTACCATCTTTATTTATCGGAATTTGAAAATATGCATTATTTAAGTCAATGGTAGTGATATAATTCGCTCCGTGAAATGAATTGAAAATATCTAATTGTATAGGTGGTTTCTCTGTTTCTGCAACCATTTTCTTATTTATGCTTCTGGCATCAAGCAGAACTCTAATTGAGCCGTCTTTTTTAAGAGTGAATGTCAATGGACTACTGTAAGGCGTTGATGTCCTTGTGATGATACCAGCTTGTTCCATTTCATTTAACTTTTCTTCCATTTTCGCTCTATATGCATATGGAATGGGATAGGACCTAGTAACTATAGGTTCATCATCGATCATTTCAATTTTATGCTCATAGCAATTGGCTCTTCCCAATTTGCTCGAAAACATATTCTTATGCTTTTCCAAAACCTTACTAAGTTTTGCCCTTTCAGAGACCTCCAATGTAGATCCTATTTTTATATTTATTAAGGGATCATCGGTACATTGTTTGATGCAGTTATTATGTAATACAGATTTATTATTATATTTTAAAGGTATAAAGTAGTCTTTGTTTTTCACTTTAAATTCTATTCCAACAGTAGTATTTCTCAAATCAATCAATATTTTATTTCTCTTGAGCCAGTCAAAGCCTAATATTAAAGGTCTTATTAAATTACCTACAATTAAAGTTTGTGTTTCAAAGACTACTTCATCTATCTTTATAGGCAATATGATCATCTGTTGTATTTTTGTGCTGCGCTGCCCAACAGCACCTTTTATTTGCATTGCTTTAACTGGCATTATTGATATTTTACGATTATTATCTTTAATTTGTAAATATAAACTTTCTGAAATGCATGTAACATCGCTCCCAGTGTCAAGGAGCGCGTCTATTTCTTTGTCAAATATTGAAACTTTAATTTCAGATCTCATATTCCCTATAAATTCCCTTTAATATTTATCTTCGTCTTCCTCGAAGACGGTTTGCACGAATAACTCCGTTATGGGCAAGTCCGACCTGGCTTTTAAGGTGTTTAATATGCTATTTACATTGTCGTTATAACCAAGGCCTTCTCTGTTAAAATTTGCTTTTAAAGTAATAGGTTTTCGCAACCCTCTATTGTTTTTACCCAATGTTTGACCAGGTCGCCAACCCAGTTTTAATAACATATTTAATGCTTTGTTCCCTTTTACATTGTAAGGGGTCGAATTGGGAACTAGTTCGACCTCTACAGCTCTAAATTTGGCTCAGGGGCCGTAACATCAGGTTGGTCATTAGTGAAATGTATTTCATGTACTTCATTAACCTTCTTTTTTCCCTCTTCGGGTTTACGCCATATTTTGTATGATTGTTGTATTTCTTTATGTTTTTGCTCCGTATTATTATTAAACTTCCTCCTTTTCTCATTATAGTAAGGTTCACGACCTTCATCTTGTTTGTCGATGTCATCTAAGTTTCTTAAGAAATCTGTCGTGTCTATTATTGTCTCAATATTAGCTATTCTCCATAATTGCTGCACAGCTTTAGGATAATGTCTGATTACATCAGTTACTAATTGTTTTTCAGGTATCGGATATGATAATGTTTGTGCCTTCTCAACCACATAAAGAAAATAACTAACCATGGTGGGGTGTGTACTTCTATTCCATTTATTTTGCACAAGGAATCTCTTTACTTTATTTTGTTCTTCTTCACCCCAAAACACTCTTAGGAAGTCAGCTTTAAAATCATCAAAAGTTGTCCAACGCACTTTATTAATGCGAGCCCAATACTTGGCTTCACCTACTAAGCACTCTTGTGCAATCGAAATTTCGAGACCATTAGATGGAACTTTCTTTAAATAATTGGTGAGATCTTCCAAAAATGATACTGGATGAGTATTTCCATTTCCGAATTTCGGCTTTTCTATTGTTACATTATGTACATTATATACAATATTTTGTCTAGGATCATTTACATGAGAGGTGCTCGCCCCGGACACCTCTCCTTGATTTATTTTAATTTGGTAATCTTTCGTTTGGTTAATAAATTTTTCCTCAAGATCCTTTATTTTAACCTCCAAGGTTTTCACTGCATTCTTAATTAATTTCTGAAGCATTTTCATCTCATCTTTAGGCTTAGCCTTAATTGAGGTTGATTTGTTCTTATTTTTAGCCATTTTTAATTTTTATTACCACTTGTTTTTTTTTTTTTTACACTTTTTGTGTCCTTCACTTACTTTAATTGAGTTTTTCCACTTATTTCACTTTATAATATATAGTATTGCAGTTTTTTTTTTTTTTTTTTTTTTTTTTTACACCTGTTGTGTCCTTCGCTTAGTTTAATTGAGTCTTTCCACTTATTTCACTTTTTATTATTTCGCTCCGTTATGCACACACCTCCTATATTATTACTCAATTTTAATATTTAAGCCCCACCCCCAGACTCTCAACCACCCCCAGCAAACACCACTCTCCAAGACACCTCTCCATTTCACTGACAACAAATTGTAGGCATATAGCCTACCTCATAATTTTATATTACCGGCCTCCTATTTAAAATTTAACCTCCATCCTGGTCACGGCACCAAATTGTAACGAACCCCCCCCCCATCTTTTTTCTTTTTTACTATATCCCACTTATATTTGTATTTCTTTAGAATCTATATCTGTAAGATATATAAATATATCAAATTTACGTGACCAGTATAACTTGATCTTTCTAAAGGTTTAAATATAGGCCGTTTAAATTTATGGCGTGATCGTCTTAGTTAGGACCCCTCTTTACGTTATGTTTGTATAGTAACTTAGTTCTTTTAGGTGTATCTTGGAAGAATGAATATTCACGAGAGCAATCGAAAGCTGTTGGTAGAGTCTTATAAGCTAGAGAACCCCGTTCACTAAGACAGAGCTCAAAAAGGTTAAGAACAATAAATTGTCCCTATTCCACTTGTATCTGGTTCACAACAGTCAATTCCTTATTAATTAATCCCTTCCCGCTTGGAAAAGGCTCACAATATTTATATCAAATACCAGTTACAAGGGCTTCGCTCTCCCACATTTTAAAAAAAATGTGGAGGAGGTACACGGCCCCACACACGCCGCGCACGGTGAGCGCCAACCATTTTAATGCGCTCCCCCCGAAGGGTACGCAAAGTTGGGAACTGGACCGTAGTCCACAGCAAAATAACTGGCGAACCAGTAAAAGAGGACTTGGCCCCTTGATAGTGCGTAAGCACAAACATCGACCGAAGTCGCGCATGTCAATGCGTGTAAACGCCATACAGAATACGATCAAATCCAGTCACAGTGAATGTACGTCACACGGGTTAGGCAACAATAGGCACACTGACCATAAAAAGCCTTCCGTGAGCGCCACCACCTGCCAGACCGCCGTTCCTGCAGACGTGATGTAAGTGTAAGGCATCACCACCAATTGCATGGTCAGCACGGCCAATTGGCCGCAGAGCGTGTCATGAGTCTACCGCTCACCTCAAGGGAATGGGGTCCCACGTTGCGCGGCTTTCGGCCGCAGCCTTGAGAGCCTCCTCAGATTCTCCCTCCAGCTACCACCCGCATGAGGTCAACACATATGCTCCACCAACCAATACAATGGCAGATATAGCCAATAGGCAGTTATAAGATAATATTAATAATTCGCCATCAGAAAGGGTTTGTGTCACTGACGTTGAGTATATGCATTTTTCGATCATGTTTGTCTCACCCACCAACAAGTTGCCTTCAATCTCTCAAAGGTGGGAACTTTATAGAGATATATTATTAAGTTGTTATATAAAACATCATGGAGGGCAGACAGTCTGCAGCCCCGCTATGAAGGGACCCGACTTGGGCAAAGCTACTTAGGTTGTGAGTCAAACCAAGACGCAGAGAGCGCCATTGAGAATAGCGACCCGCCAAACAACCATCGTAGAGACACAATGCTACAGAATGCAACAAGCATCAATACGACTATCGTCGGGCTTACACCATCCCAAGGTCCCCCATACAGTCCCAGCAGACATCACCACCCGCATACCTCCATCGACCAGAACCACAAGATGCATCGAATCAGGTGCAGTACACCCGCAGATCCATCACAAGACGCAATACTGCAAGTAGCAGTAAGCATCAATGCAACTATCATACGGATGGCGCCCCCTCACAACACACCCACATGATCCCTATCGACTTTGGTAACAAAATTTGATAATGTTGTTAACTAAAAATACCACCGACGTATCATAGTAGTACGGTACTAAGACGTCAGTAGCCAAAACTCCACGTATCATAGCGCTATTGCACTAAGACATGAAGTTGAGTATGCTTGCTGCACTTAAAAGTACTACCAAACACACTCACCCTAATCCGAAAGATAGCCGACGTATCATAACGCTATGCGCTAAGACGCCGCCCACAACCGGTAGGGGTGTGCGATGTCCACGGGCAAGTCGTATTGCTACAACAAACCCGCTTACCACCGGCACTAAGATGATATGTCTAGGACACATCGGTTAGTGAGTCCAAGTTTACCTCGGTCTCAGAGGCTGCGAAGCAACCTACACGCCACTATAATAATCCTTTTCAAGTCCCATTTCTTTCAATATAATGCTTTTACATATTTGAGACCTTCCACATATTTGCTTTATTTCATAGACCATACTACTGTATGTCTTATTCATATGGGACTTCAAGTCATAACTCTGCTATCATAATGCTTATGCATCATAGAGACCTTCTATATTAATGCTTTGGTTCGTCAGACCTTACTATGTTAAGTCCCTAATATAGGACTAGTCATTGTGCAACCTTAGTACTAGCAGTCGGTCAGCCGACCACCCCATATATATGTACAACCTTGGGTATGTGTCTCCGACAACGCCCCAATATAAGGGTACATTACAAGAACACGTTCATTAACTTAGAAATTTTCCAATTATTACACGAACTCCTTCATCAACTTAGAAAATTTTAATCCATTTTTTCTATTATATTACAAATGTTATTTATCTTTGTTATTGCAATATAATCGCCTTGTATTTATATGATTTGATATATTTTGAACATTTTAAGCAGGTTTTTAATAAATTTAGAGATTTTTTGAGACATTTTATGCGTTTACTAATATATATAATATTCAATATTCCAAATGGATATTTTTGAACTCTATGCTTATTATTTGCATTTTATTGTTTAAATTATAATTTCTATGACATTTTTAAATGTCTGTATAATGAATTTAATTATTATTTATTAATAATAATTATGAGGCGTCACAATCCACCCCCAAATTTTATGTTAATGATCCACATAGTGGAGTCGTTAATATAAAATTTTAGTATTTTGAGAGCATATACACTACACTCAAATAATTGTTTATATATCTGTTCTTTCCTCTTTTAATCTGTTACAATACGGCATATGTTATCAAATCCCCTTGCCCCAGGGAATGGCCGCCACCAACACCCCTTCAACCACAATTATCACAATGTGATAACACCATAATTTAAGTTATTGTATATCGTGTTGTTAATAAAGTTTGCAGTCAATTGTCGATTTCTTATTTTATTAATTTATCTTTAAATCTTTGAAACATTATTTCGATAGTGTCACACTTTATGTGCATACAATCCAGTTTGATATTTGTTGAGGTCAGTTCGATACCACATAGGATAAATGTGTTTGAGCCATTCGCCCTGACCCAACTCCCATATTTATTTAATAAAAATGATTACAAAATTATCTTACGATCTATATTTACAACTCTTCATTATATATTAATAACGTTCTACTATCATATAACAAATCTCTTGCTCATAACTTTAATAATTTTAGACCTTTAACTTAAACAATTATTTCCATGGGCCACCCACAAAACCCTTTTATGTTACAATATTTATTTAATTACTCTAATTTATACAAAAAGAAATTATTATTTAAAATATTTTAATAAGTGAATAGCATTGAAAATTCCTCTAATTTCGTTTGTCTCTGGATTTGCTAAGGTATATACATTGTCAAATGGTACGGCTGCTATTACATAAGGTCCTTCATATGCCAAATTAAACTTACTCATAACTTTATTATCAGCGTCTGATCTACTATATCTTGAAATTTTTACTAAGTCACCAATATTATATTTTATTAATCTATTTCGCTTATCAAATTTTGTGTTTCTTATTCGACTTGCCTCTTTTAAATTTTTACGCACTTGTTGTCTAATTTGTTCGACATTATGTTTGTCTTTACTTTTGGAAATTACTTTGTCAAAAGACATCTCATTAGACTCACCATAAAGAATCTCACAAGGCGTGAAGCCTGTACTATTGTGATAAGAATTATTATACAATTCTTCTAATTTCGGCAATATTAACGCCCAATCTTTGTGGTTAGTATGACAAAGCGTCCTAAATAATCTGCTCAACTCTTTATTTACTCGCTCTGTTGTATTTGGTCTAGGATTTCTAACTGTGGTATATATTGGCTTTATATTTAATTCACTCATTGATTGTTTCCAGTGATTACTTACGAACTGTTTTCCATTATCTGTCATTATTGCCTTGGGCTTTATAATCTCAACAAAATGCTTTACTTTTGTTACAACAGACTTTGCTGTTGACTGTTTTAAAGGATATAATTTGATAAATTTACTGAATGAATCTTGAATGACAAATATGAAAGTGTACCCAAAGGTACCTGATACAAGTGGTCCATATAAGTCTGCCATGACTATATCGCCAATGTTTTCTGTTATTATAGATTTGCAGGGACCCACATATGTTATATTGCTTTTCTTAGATAACTGACATAAATGACAAGCCCTTAATTGGTTTTTAATATCTTTTGTTAAACCTTTCCAAAAGAATCTGTCTCTTACATATTTAATTACCTTATAGGGTCCTTGATGACCCATTTCGACATGCACTTGATTTATAATATCTTGTCTCAATGCTTTAGGTAAATATATTACTTCTTGTAAATTCGTTTTGTAATATAATACATCATTTTTCAAACTATACCTTTTAAATTTATTGTTTTGTTTTATTATGGAAGTATTTAATGTCTTTAACTTTTCAATAATAGCCAACGACTCTGAATCTTGTAATTGATATACTGTTAAGGATTTTAATTTTTCTATCAACTCAATATTCGGTTCGCTCTCTGTGTAAGCAATTTCTAAACTATTATTTTTATCCTCTTGTATTAAATCGCCATCAGGAGGATAACGTGATAGCACATCTGCAACAATATTACGTCTACCCGATATATGCTGTACTTCATAATTAAATTGTTCTATATACAAAATCCATCGGGTTACTCTACCATTGAATAACTTCATATTATTAATAAACAATAATGCTTTATGATCAGTTAGTATTATTACTTTACTGCCCCTCAAATATGTTTCAAATTTCTTTAGGCAGCTTATTACAGCATAAAACTCTTGTTCAGTAACAGACCAATTTAATTCGGGGCCTTTTAAGGCTTTACTATGATAGCCTAAAATTCTCATTTCATTATTATCATCTATCTGATATAGTACTCCGGCCATACCCACACCGGAACAATCTGTTTGTAAATAATACGTCTTATTAAAGTCTGGATGATGCAATTGTATTGTATTAATAAATTGTTGTTTTATAAAATCAAATGCCTTCTGTTCTTTACCGCTCCATTGGAACTTTCGTCCCTTTTTAAGTAATTCACAGAGCGGTATTATGCTCTCGCTGTAATTTGGTATAAACCTTCTATAAAAATTGCATAGACCTAAAAAGGCCCTTAATTGTTTAATCTTTTTAGGTGCTGGAAACTCTTGGATCGCTCGAATCTTATCGGGATCTGTCTTTATGCCTTCTGTTGAAATTATAAAACCCAGCATTCTAATTTCTTTACAAATAAATTCACATTTCTGCAAGTTACACGTTAAGCCAGCTTTGTTCCATTTACTTAAAACAATATCAATGTGCTCCAAATGTTTATCTAACGTTCCTGTTGTAATAATGGCTAGATCATCTAAATAGTTCACACAAAATTCTTGGACTTCTGGTCCTAATATTAAATTCATGGCTCTGCTAAAGCTTCCTACTGATGTTTTTAATCCTTGCGGCAAAACATTATATACATATGACTTTCCATTGAATGTGAATCCAGTATATTTTCTACCATCTTTATTTATCGGAATTTGAAAATATGCATTATTTAAGTCAATGGTAGTGATATAATTCGCTCCGTGAAATGAATTGAAAATATCTAATTGTATAGGTGGTTTCTCTGTTTCTGCAACCATTTTCTTATTTATGCTTCTGGCATCAAGCAGAACTCTAATTGAGCCGTCTTTTTTAAGAGTGAATGTCAATGGACTACTGTAAGGCGTTGATGTCCTTCAGACATCACCACCCGCATACCTCCATCGACCAGAACCACAAGATGCATCGAATCAGGTGCAGTACACCCGCAGATCCATCACAAGACGCAATACTGCAAGTAGCAGTAAGCATCAATGCAACTATCATACGGATGGCGCCCCCTCACAACACACCCACATGATCCCTATCGACTTTGGTAACAAAATTTGATAATGTTGTTAACTAAAAATACCACCGACGTATCATAGTAGTACGGTACTAAGACGTCAGTAGCCAAAACTCCACGTATCATAGCGCTATTGCACTAAGACATGAAGTTGAGTATGCTTGCTGCACTTAAAAGTACTACCAAACACACTCACCCTAATCCGAAAGATAGCCGACGTATCATAACGCTATGCGCTAAGACGCCGCCCACAACCGGTAGGGGTGTGCGATGTCCACGGGCAAGTCGTATTGCTACAACAAACCCGCTTACCACCGGCACTAAGATGATATGTCTAGGACACATCGGTTAGTGAGTCCAAGTTTACCTCGGTCTCAGAGGCTGCGAAGCAACCTACACGCCACTATAATAATCCTTTTCAAGTCCCATTTCTTTCAATATAATGCTTTTACATATTTGAGACCTTCCACATATTTGCTTTATTTCATAGACCATACTACTGTATGTCTTATTCATATGGGACTTCAAGTCATAACTCTGCTATCATAATGCTTATGCATCATAGAGACCTTCTATATTAATGCTTTGGTTCGTCAGACCTTACTATGTTAAGTCCCTAATATAGGACTAGTCATTGTGCAACCTTAGTACTAGCAGTCGGTCAGCCGACCACCCCATATATATGTACAACCTTGGGTATGTGTCTCCGACAACGCCCCAATATAAGGGTACATTACAAGAACACGTTCATTAACTTAGAAATTTTCCAATTATTACACGAACTCCTTCATCAACTTAGAAAATTTTAATCCATTTTTTCTATTATATTACAAATGTTATTTATCTTTGTTATTGCAATATAATCGCCTTGTATTTATATGATTTGATATATTTTGAACATTTTAAGCAGGTTTTTAATAAATTTAGAGATTTTTTGAGACATTTTATGCGTTTACTAATATATATAATATTCAATATTCCAAATGGATATTTTTGAACTCTATGCTTATTATTTGCATTTTATTGTTTAAATTATAATTTCTATGACATTTTTAAATGTCTGTATAACATATACATAAGGTCCTTCATATGCCAAATTAAACTTACTCATAACTTTATTATCAGCGTCTGATCTACTATATCTTGAAATTTTTACTAAGTCACCAATATTATATTTTATTAATCTATTTCGCTTATCAAATTTTGTGTTTCTTATTCGACTTGCCTCTTTTAAATTTTTACGCACTTGTTGTCTAATTTGTTCGACATTATGTTTGTCTTTACTTTTGGAAATTACTTTGTCAAAAGACATCTCATTAGACTCACCATAAAGAATCTCACAAGGCGTGAAGCCTGTACTATTGTGATAAGAATTATTATACAATTCTTCTAATTTCGGCAATATTAACGCCCAATCTTTGTGGTTAGTATGACAAAGCGTCCTAAATAATCTGCTCAACTCTTTATTTACTCGCTCTGTTGTATTTGGTCTAGGATTTCTAACTGTGGTATATATTGGCTTTATATTTAATTCACTCATTGATTGTTTCCAGTGATTACTTACGAACTGTTTTCCATTATCTGTCATTATTGCCTTGGGCTTTATAATCTCAACAAAATGCTTTACTTTTGTTACAACAGACTTTGCTGTTGACTGTTTTAAAGGATATAATTTGATAAATTTACTGAATGAATCTTGAATGACAAATATGAAAGTGTACCCAAAGGTACCTGATACAAGTGGTCCATATAAGTCTGCCATGACTATATCGCCAATGTTTTCTGTTATTATAGATTTGCAGGGACCCACATATGTTATATTGCTTTTCTTAGATAACTGACATAAATGACAAGCCCTTAATTGGTTTTTAATATCTTTTGTTAAACCTTTCCAAAAGAATCTGTCTCTTACATATTTAATTACCTTATAGGGTCCTTGATGACCCATTTCGACATGCACTTGATTTATAATATCTTGTCTCAATGCTTTAGGTAAATATATTACTTCTTGTAAATTCGTTTTGTAATATAATACATCATTTTTCAAACTATACCTTTTAAATTTATTGTTTTGTTTTATTATGGAAGTATTTAATGTCTTTAACTTTTCAATAATAGCCAACGACTCTGAATCTTGTAATTGATATACTGTTAAGGATTTTAATTTTTCTATCAACTCAATATTCGGTTCGCTCTCTGTGTAAGCAATTTCTAAACTATTATTTTTATCCTCTTGTATTAAATCGCCATCAGGAGGATAACGTGATAGCACATCTGCAACAATATTACGTCTACCCGATATATGCTGTACTTCATAATTAAATTGTTCTATATACAAAATCCATCGGGTTACTCTACCATTGAATAACTTCATATTATTAATAAACAATAATGCTTTATGATCAGTTAGTATTATTACTTTACTGCCCCTCAAATATGTTTCAAATTTCTTTAGGCAGCTTATTACAGCATAAAACTCTTGTTCAGTAACAGACCAATTTAATTCGGGGCCTTTTAAGGCTTTACTATGATAGCCTAAAATTCTCATTTCATTATTATCATCTATCTGATATAGTACTCCGGCCATACCCACACCGGAACAATCTGTTTGTAAATAATACGTCTTATTAAAGTCTGGATGATGCAATTGTATTGTATTAATAAATTGTTGTTTTATAAAATCAAATGCCTTCTGTTCTTTACCGCTCCATTGGAACTTTCGTCCCTTTTTAAGTAATTCACAGAGCGGTATTATGCTCTCGCTGTAATTTGGTATAAACCTTCTATAAAAATTGCATAGACCTAAAAAGGCCCTTAATTGTTTAATCTTTTTAGGTGCTGGAAACTCTTGGATCGCTCGAATCTTATCGGGATCTGTCTTTATGCCTTCTGTTGAAATTATAAAACCCAGCATTCTAATTTCTTTACAAATAAATTCACATTTCTGCAAGTTACACGTTAAGCCAGCTTTGTTCCATTTACTTAAAACAATATCAATGTGCTCCAAATGTTTATCTAACGTTCCTGTTGTAATAATGGCTAGATCATCTAAATAGTTCACACAAAATTCTTGGACTTCTGGTCCTAATATTAAATTCATGGCTCTGCTAAAGCTTCCTACTGATGTTTTTAATCCTTGCGGCAAAACATTATATACATATGACTTTCCATTGAATGTGAATCCAGTATATTTTCTACCATCTTTATTTATCGGAATTTGAAAATATGCATTATTTAAGTCAATGGTAGTGATATAATTCGCTCCGTGAAATGAATTGAAAATATCTAATTGTATAGGTGGTTTCTCTGTTTCTGCAACCATTTTCTTATTTATGCTTCTGGCATCAAGCAGAACTCTAATTGAGCCGTCTTTTTTAAGAGTGAATGTCAATGGACTACTGTAAGGCGTTGATGTCCTTCAGACATCACCACCCGCATACCTCCATCGACCAGAACCACAAGATGCATCGAATCAGGTGCAGTACACCCGCAGATCCATCACAAGACGCAATACTGCAAGTAGCAGTAAGCATCAATGCAACTATCATACGGATGGCGCCCCCTCACAACACACCCACATGATCCCTATCGACTTTGGTAACAAAATTTGATAATGTTGTTAACTAAAAATACCACCGACGTATCATAGTAGTACGGTACTAAGACGTCAGTAGCCAAAACTCCACGTATCATAGCGCTATTGCACTAAGACATGAAGTTGAGTATGCTTGCTGCACTTAAAAGTACTACCAAACACACTCACCCTAATCCGAAAGATAGCCGACGTATCATAACGCTATGCGCTAAGACGCCGCCCACAACCGGTAGGGGTGTGCGATGTCCACGGGCAAGTCGTATTGCTACAACAAACCCGCTTACCACCGGCACTAAGATGATATGTCTAGGACACATCGGTTAGTGAGTCCAAGTTTACCTCGGTCTCAGAGGCTGCGAAGCAACCTACACGCCACTATAATAATCCTTTTCAAGTCCCATTTCTTTCAATATAATGCTTTTACATATTTGAGACCTTCCACATATTTGCTTTATTTCATAGACCATACTACTGTATGTCTTATTCATATGGGACTTCAAGTCATAACTCTGCTATCATAATGCTTATGCATCATAGAGACCTTCTATATTAATGCTTTGGTTCGTCAGACCTTACTATGTTAAGTCCCTAATATAGGACTAGTCATTGTGCAACCTTAGTACTAGCAGTCGGTCAGCCGACCACCCCATATATATGTACAACCTTGGGTATGTGTCTCCGACAACGCCCCAATATAAGGGTACATTACAAGAACACGTTCATTAACTTAGAAATTTTCCAATTATTACACGAACTCCTTCATCAACTTAGAAAATTTTAATCCATTTTTTCTATTATATTACAAATGTTATTTATCTTTGTTATTGCAATATAATCGCCTTGTATTTATATGATTTGATATATTTTGAACATTTTAAGCAGGTTTTTAATAAATTTAGAGATTTTTTGAGACATTTTATGCGTTTACTAATATATATAATATTCAATATTCCAAATGGATATTTTTGAACTCTATGCTTATTATTTGCATTTTATTGTTTAAATTATAATTTCTATGACATTTTTAAATGTCTGTATAATTAAAGGTCTTATTAAATTACCTACAATTAAAGTTTGTGTTTCAAAGACTACTTCATCTATCTTTATAGGCAATATGATCATCTGTTGTATTTTTGTGCTGCGCTGCCCAACAGCACCTTTTATTTGCATTGCTTTAACTGGCATTATTGATATTTTACGATTATTATCTTTAATTTGTAAATATAAACTTTCTGAAATGCATGTAACATCGCTCCCAGTGTCAAGGAGCGCGTCTATTTCTTTGTCAAATATTGAAACTTTAATTTCAGATCTCATATTCCCTATAAATTCCCTTTGATATTTATCTTCGTCTTCCTCGAAGACGGTTTGCACGAATAACTCCGTTATGGGCAAGTCCGACCTGGCTTTTAAGGTGTTTAATATGCTATTTACATTGTCGTTATAACCAAGGCCTTCTCTGTTAAAATTTGCTTTTAAAGTAATAGGTTTTCGCAACCCTCTATTGTTTTTACCCAATGTTTGACCAGGTCGCCAACCCAGTTTTAATAACATATTTAATGCTTTGTTCCCTTTTACATTGTAAGGGGTCGAATTGGGAACTAGTTCGACCTCTACAGCTCTAAATTTGGCTCAGGGGCCGTAACATCAGGTTGGTCATTAGTGAAATGTATTTCATGTACTTCATTAACCTTCTTTTTTCCCTCTTCGGGTTTACGCCATATTTTGTATGATTGTTGTATTTCTTTATGTTTTTGCTCCGTATTATTATTAAACTTCCTCCTTTTCTCATTATAGTAAGGTTCACGACCTTCATCTTGTTTGTCGATGTCATCTAAGTTTCTTAAGAAATCTGTCGTGTCTATTATTGTCTCAATATTAGCTATTCTCCATAATTGCTGCACAGCTTTAGGATAATGTCTGATTACATCAGTTACTAATTGTTTTTCAGGTATCGGATATGATAATGTTTGTGCCTTCTCAACCACATAAAGAAAATAACTAACCATGGTGGGGTGTGTACTTCTATTCCATTTATTTTGCACAAGGAATCTCTTTACTTTATTTTGTTCTTCTTCACCCCAAAACACTCTTAGGAAGTCAGCTTTAAAATCATCAAAAGTTGTCCAACGCACTTTATTAATGCGAGCCCAATACTTAACTTCACCTACTAAGAACTCTTGTGCAATCGAAATTTCGAGACCATTAGATGGAACTTTCTTTAAATAATTGGTGAGATCTTCCAAAAATGATACTGGATGAGTATTTCCATTTCCGAATTTCGGCTTTTCTATTGTTACATTATGTACATTATATACAATATTTTGTCTAGGATCATTTACATGAGAGGTGCTCGCCCCGGACACCTCTCCTTGATTTATTTTAATTTGGTAATCTTTCGTTTGGTTAATAAATTTTTCCTCAAGATCCTTTATTTTAACCTCCAAGGTTTTCACTGCATTCTTAATTAATTTCTGAAGCATTTTCATCTCATCTTTAGGCTTAGCCTTAATTGAGGTTGATTTGTTCTTATTTTTAGCCATTTTTAATTTTTATTACCACTTGTTTTTTTTTTTTTACACTTTTTGTGTCCTTCACTTACTTTAATTGAGTTTTTCCACTTATTTCACTTTATAATATATAGTATTGCAGTTTTTTTTTTTTTTTTTTTTTTACACCTGTTGTGTCCTTCGCTTAGTTTAATTGAGTCTTTCCACTTATTTCACTTTTTATTATTTCGCTCCGTTATGCACACACCTCCTATATTATTACTCAATTTTAATATTTAAGCCCCACCCCCAGACTCTCAACCACCCCCAGCAAACACCACTCTCCAAGACACCTCTCCATTTCACTGACAACAAATTGTAGGCATATAGCCTACCTCATAATTTTATATTACCGGCCTCCTATTTAAAATTTAACCTCCATCCTGGTCACGGCACCAAATTGTAACGAACCCCCCCCCATCTTTTTTCTTTTTTACTATATCCCACTTATATTTGTATTTCTTTAGAATCTATATCTGTAAGATATATAAATATATCAAATTTACGTGACCAGTATAACTTGATCTTTCTAAAGGTTTAAATATAGGCCGTTTAAATTTATGGCGTGATCGTCTTAGTTAGGACCCCTCTTTACGTTATGTTTGTATAGTAACTTAGTTCTTTTAGGTGTATCTTGGAAGAATGAATATTCACGAGAGCAATCGAAAACTGTTGGTAGAGTCTTATAAGCTAGAGAACCCCGTTCACTAAGACAGAGCTCAAAAAGGTTAAGAACAATAAATTGTCCCTATTCCACTTGTATCTGGTTCACAACAGTCAATTCCTTATTAATTAATCCCTTCCCGCTTGGAAAAGGCTCACAATATTTATATCAAATACCAGTTACAAGGGCTTCGCTCTCCCACATTTTAAAAAAAATGTGGAGGAGGTACACGGCCCCACACACGCCGCGCACGGTGAGCGCCAACCATTTTAATGCGCTCCCCCCGAAGGGTACGCAAAGTTGGGAACTGGACCGTAGTCCACAGCAAAATAACTGGCGAACCAGTAAAAGAGGACTTGGCCCCTTGATAGTGCGTAAGCACAAACATCGACCGAAGTCGCGCATGTCAATGCGTGTAAACGCCATACAGAATACGATCAAATCCAGTCACAGTGAATGTACGTCACACGGGTTAGGCAACAATAGGCACACTGACCATAAAAAGCCTTCCGTGAGCGCCACCACCTGCCAGACCGCCGTTCCTGCAGACGTGATGTAAGTGTAAGGCATCACCACCAATTGCATGGTCAGCACGGCCAATTGGCCGCAGAGCGTGTCATGAGTCTACCGCTCACCTCAAGGGAATGGGGTCCCACGTTGCGCGGCTTTCGGCCGCAGCCTTGAGAGCCTCCTCAGATTCTCCCTCCAGCTACCACCCGCATGAGGTCAACACATATGCTCCACCAACCAATACAATGGCAGATATAGCCAATAGGCAGTTATAAGATAATATTAATAATTCGCCATCAGAAAGGGTTTGTGTCACTGACGTTGAGTATATGCATTTTTCGATCATGTTTGTCTCACCCACCAACAAGTTGCCTTCAATCTCTCAAAGGTGGGAACTTTATAGAGATATATTATTAAGTTGTTATATAAAACATCATGGAGGGCAGACAGTCTGCAGCCCCGCTATGAAGGGACCCGACTTGGGCAAAGCTACTTAGGTTGTGAGTCAAACCAAGACGCAGAGAGCGCCATTGAGAATAGCGACCCGCCAAACAACCATCGTAGAGACACAATGCTACAGAATGCAACAAGCATCAATACGACTATCGTCGGGCTTACACCATCCCAAGGTCCCCCATACAGTCCCAGCAGACATCACCACCCGCATACCTCCATCGACCAGAACCACAAGATGCATCGAATCAGGTGCAGTACACCCGCAGATCCATCACAAGACGCAATACTGCAAGTAGCAGTAAGCATCAATGCAACTATCATACGGATGGCGCCCCCTCACAACACACCCACATGATCCCTATCGACTTTGGTAACAAAATTTGATAATGTTGTTAACTAAAAATACCACCGACGTATCATAGTAGTACGGTACTAAGACGTCAGTAGCCAAAACTCCACGTATCATAGCGCTATTGCACTAAGACATGAAGTTGAGTATGCTTGCTGCACTTAAAAGTACTACCAAACACACTCACCCTAATCCGAAA